TGTGGTTGTTTAATGGCTGGCTGTTGGGGATGACAATTAGCTTGACTGTAGGGATGCAAAACAAATGCAAGTGGGTGCAAACGAAACACATACATGGAAAAATAAAGACAGATGGCGATGTTCTGTTTTGAAAAGTTTACACAAACACTCATGATCGCAGTAGACAGAATGGTAAATCATGAGGGAAATTGCTCTAGTTTCTTTGGTAAATTTTCAGATTCTGCAACAACACTTCTCAAAATATTTTGAATCAAATACATGAAGAAGGAAAGTATGTACAGATAACAAACCAGGGTTTGTGCACCAAAGTTTCAGATCAGATGGATTTTAAGGTAAGTCATCTATTAAATGGAAGAGCTATTGCTCACTTTTAAATTACATGGTTACTGTGTTTAAAAACATTTTGGTTTTAAGGCACATTGGCCACACCCATGCCTTTCTACAGGGCCTGTAGACTCAAGAAACCACCTGAGATAGAAATTGTCTGTAAAAATAACAAAGTAGATCAAAAGATCTAAAAAAAACATTACCATCCAACAGTGATCCAACAGAAATCCAAAGAAAGATAAAGAACAAAGGATAGGGTTTACAGAGCCGGTTTTAAGGCTTTGGAAACATTGAATAAAACTCACTCCATGGACGGCCTGCAAAAGTCTCTGTAATGCATTAAATTCTCCCTCGAGGTTTTACACAACAAGCACTGTAGGTGTCACCTGATTCAGTTAAGGTTTAACAGTAAGAAAAAGGTTGGGTGAGACAGCCCCGATAAGGCAAAACCATTACAGGCCAACAGATAAAAAAGAAGATAAAAGTCTCATTTGCTGCAAAACATCATGGTGACATAAACATCTTTTGGAAAACATTCAAGGGACTGAAAAAACTAAAGTGACTAAAGCTTTGGATGACATTTCTATGACTGTCATGTCTCTTGATCATGTTCAACCTTGTACTGACTGTGCTGTTTCCCTTAAGCATCGAAATGGGAATCAAAGATGAATCCTGTAAGTCTGTGCTTTCCAGCTTCTTGAGCAAGACTTTTCCTCTGGAAGCTGACAGGATATCATTACAAGATTAGGCCAGCAGCTTCAGAGTTGAAAACGAAGGAGGAAAAAGCCACACTTGAAGACAACCATTCGCCATGAAAAATCACTAAAAGCTGGTGGAACAGAGGATTCATATTATCACTTCTTTCCAGAGATGGATTTATGTGATCAAAGCGTTGAGTAGAGCTACACTTGTAGCCTGACACAATATACTTTATGCAAGCAGCTATAACCCTAAAATGAGATTAAAATGACAGACCTACTCATCAGAGGGCAATGGTAGCCTTGAGGGAAACTTCTGGCCTTGGCATTTACTCAGCATGAGTTTAATGTATGAAAACACATAATAGTGTCTACATCTCATCATGTTCCTGCTAAACCTAAAAGATCTTGGACATCAGTAAAGTCTGGAGGAGAATAAAAACATTCCTGACAGGAGCCAGCCCAGACTGCTGCTAGTCTGCTTCTGATAGATCACAGCCTGGCAAGTTAATGTGCTTCTTCTTTGAGGATTTGGCACAGGCCGACTGCAGACCAAACACATGACTGGAAGATATTAGAACTGACTTTATCCAAACCTAAACAGTAAGCACTATACAGATAAGAGGAGCAAATGGGGATGATTGAAAACAATGCAAACACCCCTAATAGTGACACTGCCTCTGAAGGAAGCCTGTGAAGATGATGTCTTTAGAAAAAACCTGGGAAACATTACAAAGTCTGCCATCCATTTCTAAAGACACAGGGTTGCATTACTGTAGATAGAACCTCCATAAAACAATGCATCCATTCATAGATCTGTTGTATAACCCACACAATTCCTTCAGTAGCAGTTATAAAAATCGGTAATAGGAGAACCAATGCATAAGAGTTGTATGTAAAACTGTAAAAGTTGATTAATTAAGCTTAGACCTCCCATACCCTCCCACCAGTCGGCAGAGATTATTTCAATGCGCTTTTTGAATGCAAACTAAATTCTTTTGATTTATGCAAAAAAAAGCGGTGTCTCTGATCTGGTCAGTGCTAAAGGAGCCAGGACACGCTCCCATTAGTCTTTGGAAAGCTGTTTTACCTGGTTTTAATCTGAGATTAGAACCAGATAAACATGAACAGTTTTGCTAGTAACTGTGGATGGAGATGGTAATGGAGAACGCACACCGTTGTAAATCAGCGATAGCCTGTTTCCAGATTTCTTCTGTTTTTCTGTCACACCCGGATGTTTGTTTTATTAAACAAATTGTAGAATAAAACAAAGATAACCTCTGCCAATACAATAAGCAGTTTTCAAATAATCTGTTTTTGCTTTTTTGACCGGAAAGCAGAATCTCTGGTTCAATAGGTTATTACATCCCCCAGCTCCTGATGGAGGTGGATCCAAATGCAAAGAAAGATTTTAGCAGAATAATATTAGTGGTGAATCTTTGATGAGTATCTAACAAAACAAAAAGCACGCTTGAGATAAACTGGGGATCATAACAAGAATAACAAAGACAATGAGACTGAAAGAAGGACAAAGACAGAGTGGGTAAGAGGTTAAGGATTGAAACTATTGGGAAGGTGGATGAGTGGCATAAAGGCCAGGTTTGATCTACAGTAATCAGTGAACTGCACAGAAGCTGGATGAAAATGGAGTGGATAAGAGAGGCTGACTAGGGAACAGTGTAGTAAGACATAAATGTATCTAATTAAACCAAAAGCTTATCACTAAATTATTAAAAAGAAAAAAAAAAATAAGAATCTCAACACAAAGGCATGTACTGTATAATATTAAACTTTTAATTAGGATCAACGACTCAAAGTAATGCAAATATTAAACCAGCTGGTTGGTATGATGTATTTTTCTGAAGCAATGTTAGTGTTTTTAAGATGCAACATAACCAATACTTTTCCTTAAGTTCCATTTTTGTCTTATAAGTCCCTACTTTTAGCCTACATCATTATGTCAGACAGGTTCTCTTGAAGTAATGCTTTTAATCCTGCAGGTTGGCAATGATTGAGCTCTAGTGCCACAAGTTAAATCTAACCAAGCAAGGGAGTTTTTCACATTTAATTGCTTAGACTTAGACAAACTTTATTGTCGTCTTGTATACACAGAGTATGTACAAAAATGAGTGCATAAATTATTAGGATTTTTTTTAGATGACAGTGCTTAGTATTTGAGATGTGCTTAATTTAAAAGAGAAATTAGGTTTGACAAATTTATGTGAAGTAGAGAAAAATAAAATGCTCTCAGTTATGGTTCTATCTAAACGAATAAACTTTTTCATGCTAAATATAGTTATAACGCCACCTTTATCCAACACTTTTAGAAATTATTATCCCTTTTTCATGAAACTAACGAGGGCCTAAAAACATGCAGAATGTTATCTGCAGAGACAGAGTGCAGCATGGACAGGGGCACATGTTTTTTTCAAAATAAACATGGCAGATGTTTCCTCTGGGACTATAAGTAATTTTTACTTGTCGATGGATAGCATTCAGATGGGTCTGGCTCCGCAACACGATTCATAATTTCTCAGGCATAAAGAGGTCTGGGCGAGAGCATTAAATGACTAGATTGGGTGTTAATGAGGTTCATGTTACTCACAGATAATTTATTCTTGGATGGTGTGCAGGCGTATTTTTCGTCAGGTTACAGTGCAAGAACAGATGGATCTACTTTAAACCTCACAGAAATACTTGATGGAGATGAATTCAGTGTTCACTTGAGATCAAAGTTGTGCTCCTAAGTCAATATTGAAATTTGTTGGCTTCTTTTTATGCTGCATATTTAACCTGACAGCGGCTCAAAATTTCATGAAACGTGGAGTGCGAATGATAAATGCTTCAGAGCGAGATAAAAGAAAAACGGGTCAATTTTGAAAGTGACAGCTGCCAGATTTGGCAAGTTATTGACGACATGGGTGGATTAAAAGTGGAAAGATAACTCAAATAAGTGAAACTTCACTGTGCGTTCATAAAACATTTATTCTGCAAAAATAAACCTTTTGAAAAGGATGCTGGGACACAGGAGGATAAAGAGGTCAAACAACGGTGACTTCTAAGCTGACAAATACAAAGAAAAAGCTCCAGATGATGAACATGTTTTCCATTTTGAGGTTGAATAACTCTGTGATTCTCAGCCAAAACAGACTGCAAACCAATCAAGCTATGCAAATAGAGGAGCAAAAACAAATCTTGCAAGCTGAATGATAGTGGGAGGAAGAGACAAGGCTCACAGCCTTGCTCTCTTCTTCCTCTTTGTCTTGAAAAGATAAGGTGCAACTTCAAACTGCACTTGGAGCTACTCTCCCATATCTGCAACAAGAGAACATCTAGCCAAAGTTTTCTCTGCACCTCTCGGGTCGAGTAGATCCACCCAAAGGGGTTCATCAGGGGTCTTTTTAATCTGTATTTTTTTTTCTGAGCTGAAAGAGACGCCAGCTGGAAGCTTCTCCATTCCACATTTTTCTAGGATTGAATCTGCGGCCAAATGAATATACATAAACATATGCTAAGGTGTGTGCAGGAGCCAGTTTAGCTATTTGACTTAAGACAAAATATGTATCCTCTTGAGAATCAAGGTTGGAGTACAAACCAATGCTATAAATGTAACGTTTAATTTTTAAATTATATTGTGACATGATACAAAAGGCCAGGATTATTTTAAAGTTACTGTGCAGGGGATACTGTTCGATTCATCTTCAGATACAGATGTTTAGTCTGATTAAGGAAGAACACCAGAGATCCTAACTTTTTCTTTCCTTTTGCAGTTTGATGTTTAATGCAAAAATAATGCTTAATGATTTTTTTTATTAACTGTGCAACAGCTAATATGGTTCTTCTGAAAAGCATTTCATAAACCATTTAGATTAAACTAAACTTTACCTTTTATTTGAAAAGAAAGTAAAAATGAAGAACATTTTGTATCAAATTTTAGTTCTAAGTCTTTAACTAAAACAGTATTAATTCCTGCAGAGTTCACCTGTTGGACCTTACCTCCTTGAAGAGATGAGTGAATGAGAAAAAGAAGGACGACTCCACAGAAGAGCAGGGGAGCGTTTCTGTTGGCCATCTCGCTCCAGAATGCACCACCCCTCTCTCTTCAGCTGGTTTTATTCTCTCCGAGCTAATTACCGCTTCCCCGAGGTCTCAAAGAGCAGAGAGGTAGAGGGAGAAAGGTAAAAATATACAGGGGAGACTCTGTGCAATTACAAGAGAGGAGACGACTTGCTTCTTTTCTCCCACTCTGGGTCTGCTGTTGCTGTTTTTATTCTGTAAGCTGCTGCCAACAGCAGAGACACTGCTGCTAGCAGTGAAAGAAAGAGAGGGACACACATACACACACACACAAATTCACAGGCACGCCAGTCCAAATCCAAAAGGAATTAAGGTGCCTGCCAAACATTAGGATAGATACACAGAAATATCTGTGCAAGTCAGAAAGAGTATAAAGAAGAGCAAGTTGCATACCAGAATGATAATTTATTTTTCTAGAGTTTCATATTACTAGATCATGACAAGGAGGACAAAAAAAAACCTTTTTGCTGTTTGTTCGAACAAGTGAGTTAAAAACCTAGAGAGAAGGGAAACCATAGAGGGCAATGTCATAGTAAAAGGAAAAACTAAGAAATAAAATACGTTGGCAACAAATATGTGAAGTGAAGTTCTGCACAGGCTGGACAGAATTATCTTAGTCAGACTAAGATAATTCCCACTGACAGCCTTTTAACATCAATGGATGAAAAAAAAGTTTAATTAGAGAGCAGTCCGCCAAGATTAAACTAACACAATTTTCATTAATAAATTATTTTCTTTTCCAGACAAATTTGAGCCTTAGCTATAGTCTGAATATTTCATAACAACAAATGTATTGTTGTTTTCTAAAGAGTGTAAGTCAAATCATTAAATAAGATGATACATATACACATAGGTCGGCTTCTGATTGATTTGGCTGTATTGGTTTTTTGGTGCATGGACTGATTTAGATCAGTTTTACTTCAAAATGTAAAAAGAAAACAAAAACACATACTTAAGCACAGTGTGGATATTGGGTAATTACAAAAACACTTGTTTTGATTAAGTACCTGAAATGCATATATATCAACAGAATTTGTTATTGAACATTAATCATATTTAACAAATAATGTACTCATAAATCTGTCAGCTATTTTACTTACTGTTTTTATATGACCTGTTGATAATTTCAATATTTCAGTCCAGTTCCACGAAATTGGATAGTAAAGAACCTCACACCTCTTTAACAGTGCATGGAAAAACCAAGATGTCATGGATTAAAAGATAAAACCTCTGTCATCTGTTTTTAACTTTTGATTCATAAATTGAAACATATGGAAATATCCAAAGGGGGAAAAAATGTTTTATAAATGTTTCAGGATCAGAAATGATTTCTGCTTGTCTTCTGAATTGGCAGTGGAAAAAATAACTGTGTACTATCTCAGCCGATTAGGTTGGAGTGTTAAAATCTGGAGTCCCAAGTTGACCAAAACAAGAATGAATGTGAGTGTCTGCGCAATGTATGAGTGGTTTAGAGTGAAACAGAAAAGTATGGTGAAGCCTTAAGTTGACATGTTGTTGCTGACAGAGCTGTCGGCGTCCATCTTTCTTCTTTCCCATGAGGCACATATTTAGAATTTCAAGTTAAAGAAGGTTGAAAAAAGATCCTTTTTTATTGGCAAGAGCTGCATTCAAAGTCATTACTCTCAGACACAAACCTGACAGACCAGACTGTTGCATGCATGCTAATGGGCTCTGCTTTCCAAGACACACAGCATCCTTCATACCGGTGACGTCCACCACATTAATGTTCATATGACCTCATGTTTATTTCATTGAAGTTAGCTCAGGCATGTTGACAACATCAGCTGTTAGAGGTTTGTTCAGAATGGATGCAAGGGAATGTTGTCATGTGAATGGTGAAGCTGTAGATATGCTAAATCTTTCCTTTTTATCTTTTCCAGTGCACCTTGAGAAACTTACACATACACAACCACTTATTTGAAAACTGAACAATTTCAGTTTTTTTGGCGTGTAGAAACTACGCCAAGCAAAACCTCACTTTGCATGTATTTCCTCCAAATGCATTCAACTCCAAACACAAGTTTTAATTGCTAAAAACCTGCAGATATTCCACACCCTGAGATGCGGATTCAAACGAGTGAAATCATTTGTTTTCTCCTGTAAATTCTTCCGTTACATACAGAGAAGGAAAGAAAAAAGGGAGAGGGAGCTCAAAATTTTAAAACAAAAGCAAATACAGTGTAAATATTTGAAGTCTTCTCAACTTAATCATTAAAGGAAATCATTAATTACAATCCAAACATCAGGAAGACACTGACCTAATTCTGCAATATGCATGGTACTAGTCTTTCCATATTTGATTTAGGACCAAAAGCCCCAGCTGACCGGACTGTTTGGGAAACTGAAGTGTATTCTGGATGGAAGCACTGTTTTCCTCAATCTATTTGTACATCTTAATGTCTATTTTAGCTCATGTCTGGTATTCATCCTTTGGGCTTAGCTACATGGTGTTTTTGCCAAAAGAGCTAAGATTAAATATGTACTTAAGTAAAGGCTCAAAAAGAGGTCACAAAACAAACTATAATTAATAAAACTAAGAACTGCTCACGCTTCATAATATTTATGTTTACATGTTTTTAATCCCTGCAGCTAAATTGTAAAATTAAAGCTTTGGGGGGAAAGGGAACAAAATACAAGGTTTTTGCTGTTCTTCACAGTGTGTCCTATTGACAAACTTAATTAATAGGCAGCTACAAATACCTGTCACGGTAGTATCACAAGAAAGAGTTCATGCAGTCATCTGGCAACTTTTTTTGAAGGTAAAAAGGAAAGCAAAAAAGGTCTGTGGCAGTTTGCTGATCAGAAAGGGTGCATGAACGGACTGAGATTTGATGATGGTCGCCTGTTCAGAGAGGGATCTCCTGTGAGCTTCCACTAGGTTAGATTGGCCTGAGTGTTGTGTGATGTTTGTCCTGTTTTGCCAGTATATCTCTGAGATGATGTCCCAGGGCACGACAATAGCCCAAATAATATTATGGTTGGGCCATAAGGTTCTGCTTGGTACTTATATAAAAAACTTTGATCTAAATTATTTAGGGAATAACACTGTATTGATCGCCTGCGGCAGAATGGCAACTGTTCAGGGTTTACCTCACCTTAAGGCTGATTTGTACTCACAAACGAGGTTGTCTGCTTGTGTGTCGCAGTGAATGCAACTGTGCCTCCGCCCCTGCCGCAGATACTCTGCTGCCCCTCTCCAGAATTGTGGGTGACCACAGACAGTGGCATAGACAGGAGGCCTCTGATTGGTCAAATCTAGATCCGCTCTATACTATGCGTATTTCCTGTTTGGTACCTTACCGGCTTGTTTTGTTTTTATGAACGCCATTGTGGAAAATGACTCGTGAAGATGGACCAGCTATAAGAACGAGGTGCGCGAGAATGCTGGGACACCTGGATCCCAACTCTTTTTTGCTCTCATGTCCCTTATTTGTCACACAAACTTGCCCCACTTCCTCATCGCCTCGGCAGTATCTAGACCAACAGCCAGTTCGTGATTGTCCCTCTTGCTTTGTGGCGTGGAATAACAGCACAGACCACGCTCCAATATTGGGCATAAATCAAAAATTTCGGCGACAAACTCACTGCAACGCACTGCTGCGGGTAGTATAACCAGCGTTTTACACTCACTGACTGCCAGAGATAGGCAAAAGCCAACGCACGACCCTGACGGCATAAGTGGGAGAAGATGAATGGATGGATGGACACAGAGATGGAAAGGAAGGTGAGGGGCAGGATAAAAGAATTAGGGGAGAGAAAAAGAGATAGAAACAGGAAAGAGGGAGGAGTGGATGAAAAGAGAGAAAACAAAACAGCAAAAATAAACAACACAGGAGATACCAAGTAACTCCATTTCTGTAACTCTGCTTTTGCACCTGCATGTCATGATGGTAAGAAAACCATGAACATAACAACAGCAAAAAGTATTTGTAAAGGTTATGTTTTTTTAAACTGTTTTTGTTTTTATAATGTTTTTTGATGTTGGCATTCATATAAATATGCTGGTGAGATAATTTAGTATATCATTGATTGGTTTTTGGTATACATCTATTTTGAATTTACAGCCCCCCCGGGGAACACTCCACCAGCCGCCACTGCTCTTGTGTATTATTTCTATGGTATTACACTTGTCATGCAAGTACATTGACATGGTTTTCAAATTTTTTATTTCAAAGCAGTACTAAGGAACTTTCACTTTTTGTAGATTTTGGCTCCCGCTTTCATAAAAAAATATATGTATTGTTTTGCCTGAAGGAAAACAGCATTTTTCATGAGAACCAGGAGGTAAAGACCGTATCGTAAAATCCTGATCTTCTGGTCACCTGCAGTTGGATTAAAATTTCATTTCTGCTTCCTGTGAAAAATGAATAGCGATGTGGTAATTAATATAATTATGGTGAAACAATGTCATGACGATGTTGAAAATAAGAAATGTTTAACTTTGGTTCTGTGCTACGTATATTCCTACACTGCTAGCACCATCTTCCCTCTTTATAATGAATGTGGAAAAGGGGAAGTGACATGTGCCGTAAAGCAGTATGGACATTTGTAGTTGTTTTGTGTGGCAGGGTCAATGCCAACCTCCTTAAAGTGTCTTAGTGTTGGTAAAAGCCAAACAGACCCCCTCAGGGCATGACATAGGTGTCTTTGAAGTTGTAAGTTGATATATAATCAAAAAAGGTATGAAAATATTTAATGATGGATGAAAAGTTACTTGGTGTTGGTTTAATATATTTTCTTCCTAATTAATGACTGTTGTAAAACAATTATTGGTTAAAATTTAGTTGTTTTTCTGTTACTAGTGCGATATCAGGATAAAAAAGGAGTCAAAAACCTTCAACTTAAATGATGACTGGCTCACAAAATAATTGCTCAGGGTTTTAAGTTAGGAAGAGAAAGGATCTCTGGAGGCCTTCAATTTGCCTGCTTTTAAAATTTATTTTCATTCATTGTTTTTATGTCATATTTTATGTTCTGAGCAGTAGTCCTGTGACAAGAGACTCCACTCTTTGGACTGCTTACAGTCAAGCTAATTTTCAGATTCTATCAATCAGCATCACTAAGGAATTAAAAGGGTCCCTTTTAGTTCGATAAATGAAATGTTTGCTTTCAGCTTTCCTTAACAAATAGTACACTGCTCTTTAATAACTTTACTCTCATTCGTTTTATAGTATATTCATAGGCACTGTCAGGTTGTGTGGAGGTTTGTAGAGGACTAAAATGCAAGAGATGGAAGCTGAGGTTGTTTCTTGCAGATTTAAAAATGAGTGGTGGCAACAGAAGCATAAGTCCAAAAATAACTGTTTAGGGAACACAGGAAAACATGTTTGGGAGGTATAGGGGGAATAAGAGAATCCTCCTCCTCTGCAGTAACTGCAGAGGAAGAGTATATACACCAAACAGAACAAAGAATGGAGTAATCAACTGATTTGGAGCAGGTGTGGACAGAAGGATCTTGAAGGGAGCTAGGGGAAAGGAGACTGGGACAAGAAGGCAACACAGAGTAAACAAGAAATACATAAGAACTAAAATACAACCAGAAAAAAAATAGAATGACACTAAATGGAAATGAAACCAGTTACCTAAAAACACAGAATAACATAAATCAAAGTGTTGCTGAAAACTCAATAAGAAAACTTAAACAGACCCAAAAAGCCAAGAAAGGGCAGAATCTTGACAGCACTCCCCATCTTAAGGGTGGATACCAGATGCCCTAAAAAATCTAAAACCAATGCCAGAGTCCAAAAACCGAGGTGAGGTGGGCGGACGGGGAGCCAGGAAGGAAGGAAAGAAACACACAACCAAATGTTGGCAACGAGACCAGCAACGAGACCGGCAACGAGGCCGACCGTGAGGCCAAAGACGAAGCAGACTCTCTGGAGGCCGGCCATGAAGCCGCCGATTAAGCACTGTCTCTGGAGGTGACTGTGAGCCCGGAAA